AGTGTTCTTACTAAAAAAAAAAAAAAAAAAAAGCCCTCCCTCTTCCCTGAGAGTTTGTTTGTGCCCTTCTACCATGTGAGGACATAGCCAAAAGGTACTGGCTAAGAACCAGGAAGAGAGTCCTCAGCAGAATGTGACCAAGCTGACAACTTGATCTTGGACTTCCCAGCCTCTAGAACTATGAGAAATAAATTTTTGTTGTTTACAAGCTGCCCAGTTTGTAACATTTTGTTATGGTGTGGCCAGGGCACCGGGGTGCAAGAGTACCTGGCTCTGGGGATTCCAAGCAGACCAGGTTCGGCCACTCACCACTGACAAAATCCAAAGGCAGAGAAATGAATGGTGGTGAAACAAGAAAGGGATTTATTTCAGTGAGGCCAACACTAGGAAGATGGTAGACTAGTGTCTCAAGTACTGTCTAAAATGCCAAAAATACAGGTTTATGTAAGGAAAATGTGGAGCAAAGGTGGGCAGGTTCATGCAAGGTATGCAGTGAAGGTCAAATCCATCATTGTCTTGGAGTCAGTCATGGGTGGGATCTTGCTGGCTCCGCAGTCCTTCTTGCTTGAGGGTGTAGTTTAGGCACCTGTCAAGGGATGCTTTGCTCTGAGCTAGAGATGAGCTAGAAAGAACTCAACTAGAAGGTTTGAGGTCAAAATGGAGGCAAAGTCCTCTTTCAATAGCAGCCTGACTGGACTAAGAAATCTAGGTACAAATCTAACAAAATACAATCTGTGTAGTGAAAATGTAAAACACTGATTAAATAAATCAAAGATGACCTAAATAAGTAAAGAGATGTACTGTGTTCATGGATTAGGAGACATAGTATTGTCAAAATGTCCCTTCTTCTCAGACTGATCTATAAATTCCATGCAAACCTAATCAAAATCCCTGCAGTATATTTTGTAAATATTGACAAGCTGATTTTTAAAATTTAAACGTGGTTCAGATGTAAATGACAATGTATACCCTTGACAGGAGCATTTGCATTTGTTTTATTTTTTTCATTGGATGTAGTATTTCAAACACACAATTTAGTCAATCTGACACAGTTTAACAAATAAAGTCAATACTATTGTAACTAATACTCAGATTAATAAATTGAGCATTATAAGCACCACCAAAGTTACCTTTGTCATAAATCATGTCCGTGTGTGCCTGGTTTTATTTCAGGATCTTCTTTACAATCCTTTAGATTATTTGTCAACCCCATTACCAAAGGATCTTAATCAGTAGAACTTAATATTAATTCTTGATAACTGGTGAAAATTCTCCCACTTCGTTGTACTGTATTTCTCTTATATGCTACTTTGGATTCTATTAGTCACACCTGCCTATCTCCTGGCCCTTGAGATGCTCGCTTCAACCTGACTCCAACACAAATGACTGTGTGTGATCATCACCACTGATGTCAAGACCTGGATTCCCTGGCTTCTCCCACTTTTCTAGTTTCTGATGCAAGTAACATGTGGCAGGACATGGGACAAAGCTTTTCCATCCACTGCCAAAGGGGCCAGGCTATCTTGGCATGATGCCAAATTTGACATAAAAGATGGGAGAGAGCTGATAAATTCCTTGTCTATTCCTCTCCTTCATGGACTTCCGGGACATGGTGTTTTTGTTCAGACTGTTCAGGGATTGCCTGTGTGTCCAAGTGAGCATCTGTGTTTCCTTATGAAGCAATGGCCAGTTTCAAAATTCATTAAATTTGCTTCCCATATTTTTCCCTGCTTCAAATAGTTTTTTCCTCATTTTCTTCTCTGATACTCAAGCTCACAATAAAGAAGTAGTATTAATTATGTTTTTTTCTTCACACTCCTTTCTAGGAAAACTTGACTAAGGCCACCATGTAAGCTATTTTTGCCTTTTGCATTTCCTACATACTTATAAATTTCTTCACACACAGTTTATCAAGTTTCATCACAAATTCTGTTATTATAAAGAAATTTGAGAAAAATCAATGTCACTAAATATTGAGTATTTCAATTAATTGATACAATAGAACTCTCCCTTTTTTGAGGTTTTCTTCAGTGTCAATAAGTAAATATTTCATAATCTTTGATAGATTTACTCCTAGGTACATGACATTTTTATGCTATTTTAAATGATGACCCTTATTTTTTTATTACTCGTTGAACTTATGTATAGAATACAGTTAATTTTTAGATATTGATTTTAAATCCTGTATACTTTAACTAAACTTGATAATGTGTGTTCATACAAGCATGAGCATGCGCACACGCACACCTACATACGCACTTCTTTTTTTGGCATTTTAGACTACCTAGACTCTCCAGTAACATATTAAATAAAAATGGTGAAAATGGGGGGGCGCCTGGGTGGCTCAGTCATTAAGCGTCTGCCTTCGGCTCAGGTCATGATCCCAGGGTCCTGGGATCGAGCCCTGCATCGGGCTCCC